AAGCCGTCTCCAACCATTATTAGTGTTTATGTGTATGATAATTAAAGAGATGCAGATGTTGAAAAAACATTTTTACATCATTTCATTAAATACACTTTAAACTACTCCTATGCCTACTTATGATACATTAATGCCTCGAATACATACAAGGACGTTAATTTTATAATTGTTGCCCCGCAGTGGTTCAGCGGTAAGTCTGAAGACTTATAACGCTAAAAGTCGGATTTCGATATCCGTAGTGGGCACAGCACAGATAGCCCATTGTGTAGCTTTGTGCTTGGCTACAAACAATCTATCATCGTCGCATAATGAATATTTTTTAACCTAGATGATAATTTCCAAACTGGCTTTTACATTTTACTATCAAAAATATATGACTGTTTAGCTGCATTTGGATCGAGGGTTGGCCTAATGATTAGCATGTCGGACTGTTGGTCTAAAGGTCCAAGGTTCAAAATGCTATGCCACTGAACTCGTCATGCACTTTCAGCTGTGGACACGTAATAAAAGTGCCAGTCAATCCTGATATTCGCTAAAAAAATAAATGGACAAAGCCCTTGTGGCAGCGGATGCTTCTGACTGGCTGCCTCCCCTCTGTTCAGTAGTCCAAAATTAGAGAAGGTTATATTTAAATACTACGGATCTTTGGCCTGCTCACGTGGGCATAAGGCACTGTTCAGATTGAAAACTACAATTCCAATTACTTACTGCCAAACCTTGACAACTAAATAACATGTTTTTGGATTAGAATGTTTTCATTATTTACGCAAGTTTAATCTTGAATGTAAAGATTGATTATCAAGTTAGAACGAAAATTAGATAATACTTTATTTTCATAATAGTTTAATGACTGAAAGCCCTCTTTTTTTAGAAGAGTAACTCTTCAGATAGAGACTTGGTAGTTCATAGTTATTAGTATACATATTACGAACTATGAGTCTAGGTGGATATTAAATATTCTTTTGTTTGTTTGTTTATTTTAGAGCAAAGCCATATTGGGTTATCTGCCTTGTCCACCGCGGGGAATCGAATTCCGGGTTTTAGCGTTGTAAGTCCGTAAACTTACCACTGTTCTACCGAGAGACTTAAATCTTATTGTCTTGTAAGTAATATAAAATACTGCAGTGAGGTACAACTAGCTGGACTATTCAGTTTTGATAAATAATGTTTGCTTGGTTTATTTTTACATTTGTGTGATTATAATTTATTTAATTTAACTCAAATGAATCATTCAAACGGTAAAGCCTTTGCAAAAAAATTATCTTCTTAAATAAAAAACAACAACAACAACATTTACTTCGGTTTGTAATCCTTTTAAATCGATCTACATTATTTTGGTCGGGTATTAATACTCATGACAGTTTCGTAGCACGAAAATTGCTGCTAGAAACGTCCATGAGTTTGATTATTATTACTTTTGTGTGTGTGTGTGTGTGTGTGATATTTTCAACCTGAATAACTCGTTATACAACACATTGGATAAACGACCTTTATGTTAAAATTATAACATTCTTTCACCTGAATGTATTCAGCAATAAAGTGAGGCTCGAACCTTGGACCTTGGATCAGAAATCCAGCATGCTAACAACTAGGTCACGTGTGTCCCTTCCTCGTAGATTTTCAAGGACGATATTGCGTTAGTCAAGGGGGTTATTAAATGTGCAACTGTCTTATAAGGCTTGGCACAAGTGGAAGAAAAAATTTCATCAGTTCTGATTATGATGAGGCAGCACTCTAATTTGTATTTTACTGCATTTAATACTTCTCATGTTTATTTTTGAATTAATTTGTTAAAAGTAATTTATTTTCCTTTATTTTGCCTGATGTTTTCCATTCTGTAATTGTAATTCTTTTCTTATTAAATACAGGTATTAAAATACTTTACTTGTATGTCTCTTATTGGAGTAAAACGCACGAGAAGTGAATTTTTTTTTTTGTATATTGGAAGTAAACCACACGAGAAATACATTACTTGGACATCACAAATATGGAAAAGTGCCTGTTGTCTTTATGTCAAATCCTAGTCGAGTTACACATTTCAACATTATTGCTATGGTTCAAAATAAGCCGGATCTTAGAAGTAAGAAACTGTATAAATTTTGAGACGTCCCCTTAATAAGAAGTTCAGTAGTGGAAAGGTTTTGGTTTATTAAGTCGCTATACCTGTACAGGATTATCTGGTACTTTTAGGTTTTTGTTATTAAATCACTGTATCTGTACAGGATTATCTGGTACTTTCAAGTTTGTGTTATTAAATCACTATATCTTTACAGGATTATCTGGTACTTTCAAGTTTTTGTTATTAAATCACTATATCTATACAGGATTATCTGGTACTTTAAGGTTTTTGTTATTAAGTCTGTACAGGATTATTTGGTACTTTAAGATTTTTTTGTTATTAAGTTTGTACAGGATTATCTGGTACTTTAAGGGTTTTTTGTTATTAAGTTTGTACAGGATTATCTGGTACTTTACCTGTAAACTGAAACACCCGATACTCTTTAGTTCTCTGTTCTTTAATTTCTTTAATGTCAGGACGACTTCTTAACGCACATCGAAAATTTGCCTTCCATCTTTTAAAATCAAAACCAGGAATGATTGGTTTTCCTGAAATAATGAACAAGAATGATTGGTTTTCCTGAAAAAAATGAACAAGAATGATTGGTCTTCCTGAAAGAATGAACAGGAATGATTGGTTTTCCTTTAATAATGAAAAAAAAAAGTAACCAATCTTATTTAGTTGATATAACGAGAAAATAAAAATAAAAACGTATCTACGCTTTGAAAAATCCTCCTTTAGCTAATGTTTAAAAAAATGTATGTGTTCAAGAACATATAGTGTTCTTTAATAACCTGTGTACAGTTTGTTTATAGTTATGCACAACTATACACAATGGGTTATGCTGTGCACACCACGGGTATCGAAATAAGGGTTTTAATATTATGAGCCTTCAATATTACCAATGTGCTGTTAAGGGACCTTGTTTATGTAAGACAATCTCGTTGCTATCTATGTACAGATATAAATTACTTTCATAAATTTTAAATAAAATTAATCAAACGAGACATCGACGTTTTTTACTTCCACAATAATTTATTTCTAAAGTTTAAAAAATATAAATGAATAAATTTTAAAAACTCTACATATTTCGGTGGAAATAGTTCCACCATCTTCAGGAAAATAAACCACGAAGTACAGACGAAGATTCTGATAAACGTATGTTTGCTTATAACTTTAAACAATTTTCTCCAAAGGCCTAATGGTGTATTTAAAACTTACCTGTGTTTTCTATCCATAGCCGGTACAATTCCGGATCTGTTTGTTGATTCCAATCTTTCCGAGAGGCATGTTTCCAAGGAATTTTAAATAGTTTTTTATCCTTGTCTATCCATTCCAGTCCATAGATAACCATCGTGGACAACAAGTCGAGTAGCCAGGGTACAAACATTTTACGCTTTTTAGAGCGTGATTTAACTGTACGTTTAAACATCATTGAAATAAAGATATGGCAATCAAATTGTGTTGATAAGCGCAAAGCATCTGCCTTCTTCCCTTCTGTCAGCTTATCTGTGTGTATTATATGAAACTTTAAAAGTCTCTATTATTCCACTTCGATACTGCGAATGGCAGGCACACAGAGAAAATATTCTATAATACAAAGAATGCATCTTTTATATTTAACATTGCCTTATAGCTTGAACTTATTCGTTATCTTTTGCCTTTGGGTTACTCGTGGAAATTCCACGTGGGAACTGATATAATTATCAAAAATGTGTAGGTTGATCTGGAAAAAATGAAAAAACTTCCTAGACTAGCAAGTGTAGTGTCTGCTAGTATTCACTTTACTATAAAGTACGATTTAGTTACAAACGTCAGATCTAACTACTAACTTAATACATGTCTATCTACACGCACACGAACTGGCTTCTTATTAATAGCTTATAACTACGATTTAGTTACAAACGTCTGAGTAATTTACACCTAACTACTCACTTAATACATGAAATGCATGTCTATCTACACGCACACGAACTGGCTTCTTATTGATAGCTTATAAGTACGATTTAGTTACAAACGTCAGAGTAATTTACACCTAACTACTCACTTAATACATGAAATGCATGTCTATCTACACGCACACGAACTGGCTTCTTATTAATAGCTTATACGCAAGAGGTGTTGATTTGTTTCATTCTGCTTGTACGTAAAAATCAATTAGCTGTTTGTCGATTACTCGTCTACTTACGAAGAATTTATTTACTTGAACAAAAGCGATGACTGATATACTTACCCCTATAAAAGTAGTTTTGTCCAATATGTTTAATTAGTCCGAAGTACTTAGCCTTCAAAAACTAATTCTATCCGTTAATTTACTCAGTCTGAGGTACTTACTTTTAGAAAACTAATTCTACCCGTTAATTTACTCAGTCTGGGGTACTTACTCTTAGAAAACTAATTCTATCCGTTGATTTACTCAGTCTGAGGTACTTACTCTTAGAAAACTAATTCTATCCGTTGATTTACTCAGCCTGAGGTACTTACTCTTAGAAAACTAATTCTATCCGTTGATTTACTCAGTCTGAGGTACTTGCTCTTAGAAAACTAATTCTATCCGTTAATTTATTCTGTTGAGGTACTTATCCTTAGAAAACTAATTCTATCCGTTAATTTACTCAGTTGAGGTACTTACCCTTAGAAAACTAATTCTATCCGTTAATTTACTCAGTTGAGGTACTTACCCTTAGAAAACTAATTCTATCCGTTAAATTTACCCAGTCTGAGATACTTAGCCTTAGAAAAGTAATTCTATCTGTTTATTTACTCAGTCTCAGACACTTGCCCCTAAATAGACAATTCTATCAGTGAGCTTGAAAGATAGTATGTGTTAAATAATTTTTAGTCAGATGATTTTTTCCGAAATAAATATATCATAAACACCTTATTCTGTATATTAATCCAATCGTCTTAAAAGAAGTAAAATGTATACCTATGTTAGAAATTAATACCTCCTACCTTGTTTATTCTAGAAAGTAAAATATCTAATTGAATCATCATTAATAACGTTCAGTCATGATGAGATTTTACTAACACCCAAATTTTATATTGTTTTTTATCAGACAACCACGTTCATTAGATAGTTTGAGACACAAGTATTTATCACACTTATAGGCACAAAGTATAATTAATATTAACTTAAAGGCAAGCTAACTATAAACATTAAACTAAAGATCAATCCAGCTATGAGTACGGCCGATTTAACACTATTTTTGCGTCCCGAATACACTTATTTTTCATCAGTTTGCTACCCTCGTGTTAGTGATATTACTGGCCGTTATTCCAATAATATCTCAATAGGTTTGGCTATCTTAAGAGAATATGTCGAATCAAGCTAACAATGCATAAAGATATATATCATAAAAATATATAAGAATAGATATAATAAACATTACAACTTTTGCAATTAATGACAATAAAATTTAAGAAGGAATATTTTATAACTAACTTATAGGACACGTAAACAGTAATTCTTTGTTTCTTTCTTATGAATTTCGCGCAAAGCTACACGAGGGCTATCTGCGCTAGCCGTCCCTAATTTAGCAGTGTAAGACTAGAGGGAAGGCAGCTAGTCATCATCATCCACCGTCAACTCTTGGGCTACACTTTTACCAACCCGAAATATAAAAGCGATAAGATTCGAGTTACGTCACAGCAATAAAAAAACATAAAAATAGAAGTTGTTTAATGACGAATTTCACGCAACGTTACTAGAATGTTTCTGCGCTACCGTTTTTAGTATTAGACTACAAGAAAGGAAATTACTCAATATCACCCATCACTTAATCGAAAAGTGAGATTTGGCCGTCACTCTTATAACGCACCCGTGGTTCCATAGGGCGAAGCGTGATGTTTTTAGACGGTAACAGCGTGCGGTCTGCGAAATTTCGGAACAATGGTTCGGCACGTTAGCCACTGGACCGCGATAGTCCCAGTAAAAGTTTGTTTATGTGCAAAGCTACTTAAAAAGTTGTCTGTGATCTGCCCACCGTGGATATAGAAACCAGGTTTTTAAAGTGAAAAAAATCCTCAGACTTATCGCTTAGTCATCCGGAGGCCTCAGAAAAAGAAATAGTAGCAATGATAAATATCAAGATTATAGCAATTATCAGAAATTAGTGTACCGTAAATAATAATGTAGTGTTTTACTACGCTGGGAACTGTTATACAGTCAACATTAACTGTCGTAAGACATAAACTAACAGTCGGTAAATCTAATAGTGCCCGCCATGCTACACTGGTTCATATTACTTTAATTTTTGTAAATCATTTACAATGTAGAAGTGAAAGATTTGAAAAGGATGCGATATCTTGTTAACATATTAATCCCATAATTGGTAGCAAGAAAACTGTTGAATTTCCTGCAAAATTGATTGAATAAATCTGGCTTTCAAAATGCGGTAGGAGAAACTTTGTTTGTGAAAAACTGACAGTGAGCGTTTAATACCTGGCCCCCCAGTGGCACAGCGGCATGTCTGCGGGCTTACAACGCTAGAAACCGGGTTTCGATACCCGTGGTGGGCAGAGCACAGATAGCCCATTGTGTAGCTTTGTGCTTTACTTCAAATAAACAAATAAATATTTAATCTCTGACCACAAAATATTTTAATATTGAACAAATTATATTGTAACTAATAAACTGAGACTATTAAACGTTGTTACAGAAATTACATGGAATATTTATATTCGTAAGTGGAAAGTTTATAACTTTAAAAAGTATTCAAAGTGTTCGTTTTATTGCGAATTTTGAACTTGGATGTTTGATTAACATCTAAGTCCATCTTGTTCGGTTTGTTTTTAGTAAAAGTTCTTCTTATCAAAGTAAGTTCTTTAGATAAATGTATGTGGTAGTTTCAAGTAAACCTTCATGATTGGGTAAAACGATATCATCAGTCATGGGATACTTAACTTCTTTTAAAAGGGTGGGAGCAAGTTTAAGGAAGAGATGCACAAATAGTTTTTGCTAAATAACATTCATAGTGGAGGGGCATGCTACTCCTTTTGCCTCTCTGGTTAGGCGTCTGTGTCATCAATATATCTTTAAGCGCGACTAATATACAAAACGTTACTACAATCATATACTAAGATTTGCTATATATGAACATTCATGTTCAAATAAGTATATATATATATATATATATTTAACTTGTAGGCTGAAGTTAACCCACCCCAATATTCCATGTATCTGTTGTCCATAATTTTGCATTGATAGACTAGATGGAAGGCAGCTAGTCAATAGCACTCATCACCAGTTCTTGTCTACCCTAATTTAATAGTAGAACTTGACCGTCATTTTTGTATCTGTTGTCCCTAATTTTGCAGAGAGTGATTTTTTATAGGGTAACTGGACTTGAATCATGGACCCCCGAATATACAGTTCGTAATGATAACCAGGAAGCCACGCCCTGTCCTAACTGTCGTTGATATCTGACATTTGCGTTTATAAGAACAATAGAAGTGCTGTATTTAGTGCAGCCTTTCAATGATGTAATACTTGAACAGAAGATGGAGAGGACGTAGCTGTTTTTAGCGCAGAGATGCACAGTAGGGCATCTGCGCTCTGTACACGAGAATCGAACCACGGATTTTAATGTTGTAAGTCCTTAAACATTACCATTGACCTAATGGAGTACAGTGGGAGGAAGGAATATACTAAACAACTATCATAGTTGTTTGATTGAAAGTTAAAAATGTGATAATTAAATGAAAGTAAAAACCTCAGACTGACAATACATTTATAAAGTAATAATTACAATAAAACAATACATTTCGATAGAGTAATTTTCTTTTATAAACTGATGAGAAAATAAAAATATTTAACTTAACATTAAAAAATATTAGGGTTACAAACCTATGGAAACTTTGGAAAATATATTCATAGGCTTCAATATATATTTTAACAAATTATGATTGCAATAATTAGACATTAAGTTCACAAGCTATGACCACGAAAGGTAGGGAGTTAGCTAACAAATTTTAAGGCCTTACTTTTGAATTGAAGTTTTATTTACTGTAGTTGAAGATTGTTGGAGAATTTGTATAGGGAATATTTTTAAGCTTTTAAATAAGAATTGAAGATTAAGAAAAATCACCTAAATACACAAAATCTCTAAATTTTAAATGTTCTTAAACCTGCGATTTAAAATGGTTAAACAATAAACATCGTCTAGCGATTGTTTTTATTCGAACAATGCCCCAAATTAACATCGGAAAATATTGTTATTTCACTTGATAAAAATTAGGTTGAAATACTATTAAGCCTCCAGTGGCACAGCGGTATGTCTGCGGACTTACAACGCTAGAAATCGGGTTTCGATACCCGTGGTGGGCAGAGCACAGATAGCCCGTTGTGTAGCTTCGTGCTTAATTGCAAATAAACCAAATAATTGTTTGTTTGTAGTTAAGCACAAAGCTACACAATGGGCTATCTGTGTTCTGCCCACCA